CTTGTAGGCAGGTACTTCAGAGCTTGAAAGAAATTTGAAATTCAAAACACTTGGGTTCTTTGGCATTTTGGCTAAGTAATGTTCAACCTGTGTATTGCTGAAAATCAGTTTTGAATTTCTGTTTGTCCCTTACCAGTTGTCATTGAGAAAAGAAGACGCAAGGGTTTACGCATATGAATAACTATAATTTATATGTGTCCTAGTGATGAATTCTTTAAAGCCAATAGATAGTTTCTGCTTTACTATTAATAGTTTTAGAAGAATTCTAACATCGTTTTCTAAAATATATTTATTTTTGAACTGAGACATAATTTTTGTATGACTATTGAACTGTAAAGTTGAAGCCTTTTTGTTTGTAAGACTGTAACAAAGATATATTGCTCTACATTTTCCTACTTGTTCCTTGACTCCTTAAAAGTACATAGGAAGGGCAGGCTTGGTGGCACACACTTGTAATCCCAGTGCTCAGCAGGCTGAGGCAGAGTGATCACTGAGGATTCAAGGCCAGCCTGGGCTACAAAGTGAGTTCAAGGCCAGTCTCAACTGTATAGGAAAACTTTGTTACACACACAAAAACCCTCCACTCCAGAAAAAAAACCCATGTGAAACCCAGTGCTGAAAATTGCTTTTCTGTGAAATAGGTTAATGTTCAGGAAATAATTTAGAACTTAGATCTGTTTGGAGCCCATTTTTTCCTCTTTACTACTTCACCCAAAAAATTTTAATGCTTTGGTTGTATTATTTACTTCTAGAAGTAGATTTTAAATGTATTCATTCATAAAAGATTTTTTGGCAGTTAATGAGTGGAAAGTAGCCTTCATTACATTTTATAAACTTTGCTGTCCTGAAATATGGCTGAGAGTCATTCTTTGTGACTACTTTTCTTGATGAATTTTTTACTATTACCCCCTCCCTCCCATGTCCCACTCCCTGCTCCACACTGGTGATTGAACCAGGGCCTTCATTCTGAGGTACATTCCCAGCCCCTTTAACCTTTTTCCCCTTCGTTTTGAAACAGTGTCTTGCTAAATCAAATTGCCTAGAGTGCTGGAATTATAGGCACGCATCTCTATACTCAGCTGTTACTGTTTGATTGAATAAATGTATAAGATTTTCTAAAGATAAATTTGAAGCTTGTAAGTATAAAGAGATTGTAATATTTTATCTTTTAAAGATCTTTACATTCAGAGATTTTGGATAACAACTAAATTACAATTTTAGTCATGTTATTTTAAAGATACAAAGAGACAGTAGAAATAAGACAAAAACCTGAAAGCAATTTAAACATTTCATACTTGTGGGGGAAACGTTAAGAAAATTACTGGCTTACTGATTCTTAATTATTTAGCGTATTACTGTAATGCCATGAAGAATTTATTCTATACTGTCAGTTATATTTTTATCTGGTAGATTTCTGGAGCCAGAGAAGATACATTTGTATTTTATATAACTGTATATAGAGTGTGGTATTTTTGTTGGTTTAAGGAGCAAGATGTTTGAGAAAAGTTATTTTAAGTCAAGTGAGTAAAATATAATTTAAAATTTGACTAGCAATTTCTGTAGATGACAATTCTTTTGCCAACAATTTGTTATTTAAAGTATTCTGGTTATGATTTACTAATTCTTCCCATTTACATTATGAATCCAGAATACTGTAATTGTTTTTAAGATAATTGTAGTGATATATCTTGTTTACTTCATATGTATTATAGCTGTTTATAAACAAAATATTGTCATTTTTAAACATGAATTGTGCTCTTATTTTGAATACTTGTAGTTTGTGTTTGGCACATAAATAAGTGGTCCACAATCTTTTAATCTGATTACTCATGCCTGAGAGTAGAGGATTATGACTTGGAGGAATTCGTAATCATGGCTTCTGGGAACAATAATGTTTTAATTTAGGAGAACGCTAGAAATCCCTTTCAAGAGTTTAAAATGTCCAAATCTCTTTATCTCCCTTTGCCCTAATTTTTGTGACTTTTTTTAAAACCTCAGTGTACAGTGTAACAGACTTGATTATCTGTTGATAATTTTTGTCTTTTAATATTGAAATTGATATCCTTCGGCATGAGTTACAAGTTATAGCCAAATGAATATTTATCACAAGTTTCAGTTGTTATTTAGCAGCTATTACAGATTTTATTCTTTTATTTTTTCTTTTAAAATTTTATTTAAAGAAAGAAAATTAAAAATAGAAAAAAGAAAGGTTGAATAATACAGAAATAAAAAAATTAACAAAATCACTAATTAGTACATTGCATACTGTCATCTTAAAAATAGTTGTTAAAGTTACGAAATCAAAGCATAAAAGTGGCTAGACACTCAAACATTGACAGTGCAAAGTCTTCTGTTCAGTGATCTAACGGAAATTTAGTCATCTGGGCATCTGTCTCCCACAATATGTATACCGTTATGTCGTTTAGAGTATTTTCCTTCTCTTTCACTTTAACAGAATCTATTATAGTTTTTGAATCTTATTACTGTTAGTTTTTATTATTTTTTACATTAGAGAGACAATGTGATATTTACTAATGTGAGTGTTACTTATTTCACTAATGAGGATATTTTCAAATTGCCTCCATTTACCTATAACGGACTCAAGATCATCATCCTTTTTTATAGCCGAGTAGTATTCCATTGTATAAAAATACCACGTCTTTTGTTATCCACTCTGTGGTTGATGGGCATTTTGGTTGTTTCCAAGATTTAGTTATTACAAACTGTGCTGTGTGAACATGGGTGCACATATATCATTGTGACATGGCCTTTGCAAATTTTCTGGGCAAATACCCAGGAGGGGAGATTTTATTCTTTTAAAGCTTTTTTTCCTTAAAAACAAGCAAGTATGATTCTTAGTTGTTTGAAAATTTCATACTAAGAAAGACTTAACTACATTGGAGATACTTATGCTTTGCTCAGGAATGAAAACTACAAGCCCAAACAACACCATATCATTTTCATGCCTTTTGAGAATAAGCTGATATCTGCCAACAGGTGCCTTTGTTTATGAGGGCCAGAGAAAAAGTCTGAGACATTAAAGTGCAGTGAAACCTAGTTTGTGATTCACTATGAAGTTAACTGACTTCTAGCAAAGTCATTGGCTGGTTTTGTATGGAATTGCTCATGAATTTTTAAAAACATTCTTTCTCTACATTTTTTTTTTTGAATGCTGTTTACCCAGTATAAATCTTCATTATTTACTGAATCAGTTTACTCTTTGCTTTTGGGCAAACTAGCCTTTGTCCTAGGGAGAAGTACTTGGAATGTCAAAAGAACATTTAGTAACCCTAAAAAGAAAAAATGTGAGAAGCTTTTCAAAAACCTCTGGCTCTTCATAACTCAATAAATTAAATACTGAAAATGTGTCAAATATTTACAAGAATTGTTTATGTTGACTAACATATGGCAGAAGGAATAAATGTTATTTTGTTTCTTTAGATTGGAACCAGAAAAACATTTAATTTTGGTTGTTGTTACAAATTTAGTGAGGCCCTGAGAAAAAAATTTTTTGAGGCTCTGGAAAATTCAATTTGCTCTAAACAAAACCAAAACCAATAGCGTGTCATCTGGTCACAAATGTGTTTACAAAATTTGACTGGATCACTTTATGCAAAGTAAATGGGTTTGATTTTTCATATTGGTAGAGTAGTATATTTTAGATGTGTTTTAATTTATCTTGTTTTAGGTAGGTATTATATATTGTTTTGGAGGAAATATTAAAAATTTTTATTTTTGCAGAACTGGGTATTGTCTGATCCTCAAACAGCTGTGCGACATCCCCAGACTTTCAAATTTTTTTTAATAAAAATAATTTGACCTAATTTTCAGTTCTCTTCATGTATACTTTAAATAACAGTATGTCCATACATATTGTTATACTTGAAGCTTACAATTTAATAAGCCAGCTAGAAGAGACAGTGTAACAGAGGGTTAGCGAAGAGTTTAATGTAATTCTTATCACTGTGTTTTTTGAACTGATCTAATAAAACAGTTTGAAGTCTAAGCCTGGTGGTGCACACCCGTAATCCAAGCAGTGTGGCATGCCGAGGCAGAAAGATCTTGAGTTTAAGTACGGACTGGCAATCTCACAGAATAAAAAGGGCTTGACATGTGGCTCAGTGCAGAAGGCTTGGGTACAGTCCCCTATACTTGGGAAAAAAAAGTTCTTTTAAGCTTTTAAATTATCTGTTTGAAAGCAGAATATTTTATTTTAATTCTATTCTATTATTGTGTTTGAGTATTTGTTTAAGCTTCCAAGATACACTGGCAAGACATTACAACATCGCTTTATACATTTATTGTAATGCTTTGATAGCACTTAGTGATGTATACCAGCAGTAGGTGTTAACCTTACTAGTGTCAAATGCCAGGCAAAAGTGACTAAGTTTTTAAAATTTCTTGTCTCATTTTGTTGCCTGTCACTACTAGAGACATTAGTGAAATTGACAGACACGGTGCATGGAAAGTTTGTGGGGCAGGGAAATACATAAATATAGATAAAGGTACAGAAATAGATTTATAGATATGTAGTATAGCATAAAAAATATAAGTGTATGCAAACAGTTTTCAGTGTAGTTTATAGTCTTGGCTTATATATTTTGGAGGGACAAATGTTTAGATTAAGATTATAAGACTAGAAGCTGAGATATAGTCAGCAGTGCAGTGCCTGCCTGGCAAGCTCCAAATTCGATTTCTGGTAACCCAAAAAAATAAATAAAAAAGATGTTAAGACTGCAAAGCATTATGATGTGGTGGTGCAGGCCTGTAATTCCAGCTGCTCAGGAGGCAAAGGCAAGAGCCAGGCAGTGCAACTTACCTAGTTGATTGTTTGAACTGATGTGAGGAAAAGTGTAACAGCTTGTGTGAAAACACAAAAATAGGTTGAGATGGGACTCACTGCCCTCTAGCTTAGTACCACGAAAAACAAAGACGTTGAGGTTTGCTGAAAATAGACAAAGATGCTTTACTGATCTTTCCTCACATACCTTGTTTCTAAGGGTCTTATTGAAGTGTCACAAAATTTAAAAATGGAAAATGAAGAGTTTAAGAAGCGATACAGTGATGCTACGTCTAAAGCTCTCCAGCTTGAGGAAGATATTGTATCAGTGACACATAAAGCAATTGAAAAAGAAACTGAATTAGACAGGTATTTATGATGCTTTTGAAAAATAATTTAACCTTGTTTTAATAAGATTTTTTTGATTTATCTGTACATTGACTCAGTTTGATTTATCTATATCTTGACTCAGTTTAAAGGACAAACTCAGAAAGGCAGAGTATGAAAGAGAACAACTTGAATGTCAGTTGAAGACTGAAAAGGACGAGAAGGAACTTTATAAGGTAAGGAAGGTGTTCTTTTCCTTTCTCTTGGTTACCTTTGTTTTGTGTAGATCGCTCATTAGGGTGGTGAGCCAGGAGTTTGAGCTGTGGGTTCTAGTTCCTAGGGGTGCTTGACCTGGAGGCTTGCTTTCGTGATGACTCACCAACAGCGTTTATAGCTCTTGTACAAGGCCTCTCCGTGGGCTGCTTGCGTGTCTTCTTCACGTATAGTCAGCTTCCCTGAGCAGCCCCAGGAAGGTGGGAGCTCCGAGAAAGTCTCAAGTCACGGTGTATATTGCCTTAAAAGTTGGTTTTTAGGAAGTTAAATAGTTGGAAGTTTAGATACTTAGGTACTGTAAGTTACCGTAGTTTAGTAACAACAAGATATTTGTTTATTAGAATTTACATGACCAAACACTTTTACCTTTTTAAGAACATATTTTAAAGCATCAGCATGCCTGTAATCCCAGCCCTTGGGAGGCCGAGGCCAGGAGATTGCTGCAAATTAAAAGTCCAGCCTGAGCTACAAAGTGATTTTAAGGCCAGCCTAAACTGCAGTGAGACTCTGTCTCAAAAAGAAAAAAAAAGAAAAAAAAAAGAGGAGGAGAAGGAGACATTTTGCCTTAGGGAGAGGGTAATAGTTTATTTAATCGATGGGATCCTGTTTTAGAGAAATCCTCAGAGGTTGTCATTTTACAGAGGTGTCCTTGTTGCTAGTGAATCTTCGCCTTTTGAAGTTTTTCTTTTTTTAAGTATACCTACAGTAAAGTTGGCTTAAGAGTATCATGTTGTGGGTGCAAATTGAGACTTTCTGAAGTTGCTAATAAACATTTCCTGAAGAAAGTTCCATATGAGAACATTCTTAGTTGTCAGGTTCACTTTACATGTTGATGAGCTGATTGCATAAAACTTGGGGAGTTTAAAAAGTGGTGCTGGAAAGATGCTGATGCTGACATCTTCAGAGAACCACAAGTTACAGTCTATCATTGTGATGGAAGTTAGCCTTTCAAGTTTCCTGTACATATAAAGAATGAAGTATAAGCTGAGTATGGTGATGGAAGGCCAAGGCAAGATGATTACAAGTTCAAGCCCAGCTTGGGCAAATCATGGTCTTGGCGAGACCCTGTCATGAACTCAAAATAGGAAGAACTGGGATTGTAGCCTCATTAGGAAGATCCTGGGTTCAATACCTAACAAATCCCCCATCCTAACTGAAGTGCACCCTTAATGAGTAACAGTATCTCTCTAGTACTCTTAACAAAAACAAGATACCCTTGCTAGTGGATCCCGGGTATCTGTATTCTTTATGTTTCCAGTTGTTGAATTTGATTTGTGTATCTGTTACAAGCAAATCAGCAGCAGCCAGAATTCATGGGAAAATCAGTGGGGTTAGGGCAATTAAAAAAGTTTTTAGGCAGATGAGAGTAACTGAAAGTACTGATTGCATTGCTTCTTGTCTTACTTACTTTTTACTCATCACTGAGACAAAATACCTGATTACCAAAGTTGGGAAAAGAAAGGTTTATTTCTTACAGTTTTTGGAGGTTTCAGTCCACACTCAGTTGTCTCCAAGGCAGGATAGCATAGCAGGGCCGCAGTTCATGGTGGAGGAAACCAGCAAGAGAGCAAGACACACCTTTTTCCTGCCATTACATTACATCCTGGTTCCATCCCTAGGCCAGTGTAGCACTCACACCCCCAATATCCAAGCACTAGACAATGAACCAGTTACAAATGCACAGTGCAAATGCATGAGACCTGGGGACCACCAACATAAATCATGACACTTCTGATAATGTTTTTTAAGTTGTTTCTTCTAGTTTTCTAGAATTTGGTTATTATGCCTTTTGTTTGAATATTCTTTAACTTGTTTCCCCAAAGCAACAATTGGGTCACGTTTTTTTTTTGGTCTTTTTAGGACAGGGTCTTGCTATGCATCCAGGCTGGCCTTGAGCTCATTTTGTAACCCAGGCTGGTCTCAACTCTCTCAGTGATCTCCTGCCTCAGTCTCCCCTGGAATTACAGGAATGCACCACCACACCCAGCTTCTATTGACATTTTAAAAGAGAATCTAAAATCATTAAATCAAAGGAGCAATGTTTTGAGATCAGAAAAAATACATAGAAATTGTGAGGAGTGGGGAGGCTTAGAAAAGCTCTTTTCTCCTGTGTGCAGAATTTGGATCTGACTCCTAGGCCCTCCATTGATCATTTTTGAATTAGAGATAAATAATGGTATTTAAGATTTTGAGTAGTCTGACTTAGGTCATGGAACCAGAAGTAATATTCTTGATATTTTCTACTACTGTTACAGGTGCATTTGAAGAATACAGAAATAGAAAATACTAAACTTGTGTCAGAGGTCCAGACTTTAAAGAATTTAGATGGAAACAAAGAAAGCATGATTGTTCATTTCAAAGAAGAGATTGGTAGACTTCAGTTGTGCTTGGCTGAGAAGGAAAACATGCAAAGGGCTTTCCTGCTTACAACTTCAAATAAGGTAAGTACTTTTGCAATCATATTTGAAGATTTAAAAAATCTTTGTTAAATGTGTGCAGTGATTGTTTTTATTATTTTTAATTCTCCCACTATTTCTTTTGAAAAAATTTTGAGCCAAAAAAGTTGGAAGAACAGGAGAATGAATAACTACTCTGAAGTATTTTGCCATTCTTTCTTGTATCTTTATTTTTTGTGCTATTTGAAGGTTAGTTGCAGGATTTGTGGTAATTCTCCCTAAAAGATGTACTTATCACTCCTAAAACTTTAATAGCGATCAGGATAATATTAATTCATTGAGTCTCATGTATTAAGTTTTCTGTATTCCAGTTCTAAATGTAATCTTACATAACAATTTTTTTTGCTTCAGTGGTGGCCAGATTCAACATTAATTTAACTGATGAGTTTAAGTCTGTTTTAATGTAGGATATTATTCGTATACCTTTTATGGTACAGATACAGACTGATAAAAAATGTGTGCATGTGTAAATTTTAAATATTACATTAAAAGACGCATTGCCATTAATCCCCCCTCAGAACACTTCCTCTCGCATCAAATACAATTATCCCATCATTCTTGCCATTTCTGAAGTTGTTATGGAAGCACACATTCGTGAAGATCTTTACAAGTTACGATAAAAAAATAATGTCATTCGCTGCTGAATGCTATGCAACAGAAAGGCAGGCTTATGAAAACATAATTTGAATTCCTTCTTCCCTCCCTTCCTCCCTCCCTTTATCTTCCTCTACCTTTCTTTCTTTTCTTTCTTTCTTTCTTTTTTTTTTTTTTTTTTTGAGACAGAGTATCTGTGCAGTTCAGGCAGGCCTTGAGCTCGCTTTGTAGCCCAGGCTGGTCTCGAGCTCGCAATGATCCTCCTGCCTCAGCCTCCCTAGTGCTGGGATTACAGGCGTGAGCCACCATGCCCGGCTTCCCTCACTCCCTTCCTCCCTCCCTGGCTTCCTTCCTTTCTCTTTCTGTCTGTCTCTCTCTGTTTGTCTCTCTGTCTCTCTCTCATTCATTCTTTCTACCAGGGTTTGAACCCATGGCCTTACACTTGCTAGGCAGGCACTTGTGCCACTGAGCTAAACCTCCAGCCTGTCTCTTATTGCAGAATGGCTGGACATTTTTGGCAAGAACAGGTACAGTTGATTGCAGCCATATCAAAAGTCATATAATGTCGTTTCATTCTTGATGATGTTAACTTTGGTAATTTGTTTAAAGTTATATTTTCATGTTATAGAGATACCTTTTTTTCCCTCTTTTTGATTGTTAAGCAATCTGTAGGATAGTACTTTGAGATCTTTTGATTATACTGTTCTCAATATAGACTGATAACCTGGTGGTTTTAATATTATTCATGATCCTCACCTGCATTAACTATTATATTAATGGTTGCAAAGTAATGAATTGTCATTTTTATATTTATTAGGAATTTAAAATGAAGTTCCTATTGCTCCTCCCCTTTAAAAATACCAGTAGATATCTGTGTAGGCCTTTTTGTTCAGTGTATTCATTTTATATTATCATGACTATTCTTTTTCATTCCCCAGTTTAGCTCGAGGATCTTTTTAAATCTTGCTTTTGATATGTCTCTGTAGTGCTTTGAACATTTTCTTTATGGCACAGTTGTATGTTTTGGCTTTTGGGCCTTGAGCATGCTAGGCAAGCACTCTATTCCGGAGCTGTATCTCCAGTCCAGGAATGGAAGTCTGAACCAAAAAGAACTGGATTCTGTTGCCACTCTAATGGGGCATTCTTTGCATTTCCAGGGTTTTTTTTTTTTTTTCTAAGCCTTTATGATGTTATCATCATCTCTCTTCTAGTCAGTGTCTTAAGATTCTTCTTCACTTTTTTGCATTACGTATTTATGTTTTCCCACCATGAGAATGTTTTGTTTCCAAACATTGTTCATGAGTTCTGTTCAGTTAAACATACATACCAGCGATATCAGAATTACTATGTCAATATTACTTCCAACAATAAATCTATTAAAGAAAATTAAGGTCTTTTTTGAGCTTTTTTTTTCTTTCAATGTAGTTCTCTAAGGACATGGAACACCATGTTTATAAGTTACTTGAATTAATTTTTTTATGTATTTATAAATTTGTAATGCAGTGAGATTTGTTTTTCTCTTTTTTGATTTAATTGTATTTTTTGAATGTGGAAAGCAGTTGCATATTTTAGAAGTCAAAATGATTTTAAAAATTTACTCAAGACATCACAATCCCTTCTGTATTTTTCTTTTTTTTGGTACCTTGCATTTACATAAACATTTTCATTCCTTTTTGGTTTATTTTTGTGTGTGTCTTTTTTAAAAATAAGATTTTATGTGCACATGTGCATCATGCATTTCTTTTTTTTAAATCAGTACCGGGAATCAAACTCGTGATCGCGCACTTGCAAGGCAGGTGCTTATGCCGCTGAGCTAAAATCCGCAGCCCTCTTCATCTTTCTTTAAAAAAAGAAAAGCATCTTTCTTTAAAAAAAGAAAGCTGTCTGTACTCTTCTGCCTTTCTTTTTATTGGACGATATAAATTGTCATTCATGTCAGTTAATAGAAATACTTATTTTTTCTGTGTCTGTATAATACTCCATTGTGCAGATTTACTTTGATTTATCTAATTCTTTTTGTGGTCTTTTGTACTGGGAATTGAACTCACAACTTGCCAGGCAACGGGCACTTTGCCGTCGAGCTATATATCCAAGACCTTTTTTTTTTTTTTTTAGTCTTTTTGAGACGAGGTCTCACTATGCAGTTCAGGCTGGCCTTAGTTCATTTTGTAGCCCAGACAGGCCTTGAACTCCCAGGAATCTTCCTTCCTTCCTCAGCCTCCAGGGTCCTGGGCTTCCAGGCATGTGCCACCATGTCTGTATTGTTCTTTATCTTTTATGGATGAGTAGTAGGTTGTTCTCAGTGTTTTACTATGAAATATACTCAGAGGTAGGTGGTTTAACACTGAAGTTAGAAGTATAGGATATTGAGAAATACTCATTAAGACCCAGGATGTTTTTTTAATCTAGCAGGTTGCAAATGCAAATGTGAGAAGTGTATTTGATGATTTATTACTTAATAAGATGTTAAAATATCTCTAAGCATCGTTTTGCTGTTTAAATCTTGTATTGGGGATTGAACTCATGACCTCGTGCTTACCAAGCACGCGCTTATGCTGCTGAGCTAAATCCCCAGCCGCTATATCATATTTTTGTAAAAAAAAATGTAATTATGTACCTAGGGAAAATACTAATTGCTAAAACTTCTTTAGATTATTAAAACAATGTGAGTTCATTATTATAAAACAATTTAAACAGTACATGAAGATATAAAGTAAAAGGAAAGTTCTCCTTTCCTGAATATGACATTGTAGGACTTTTTATTTTTCTAGAAACCTTCAGTGAATATATATATATATTTAACTCAAATGAGAATATATGATATGTAGTATTCCAAAGCTATGTTTTAAAAAAAACTTAAGAGTGCCTAGATGTCTAGTATGAATACATACATACATCTTTCTCATTCATGATAACCACTACATATTATTTCTTATTTTTGTTGTAACAGCTGTGTAGTATGTAATTGTCTTTAGTTATTAGCTATCTTTAGCTCTGACATGCATTCTGCAGTAAACATCTTTGTACAGCTATCTAGACATATGTCTAAATCTGTAGAATAAATTCCTTCAAGTGGAATTCCTAGGTCAGTGGATATTTAACTTTTGACAGTTTTTAAATTGCCTTTCAAAAGATAATGTGTTGATTTTTATTCCTAATAATAGGGTATGAGATCCTACATTTGTAATGACTTTCATTATGTGGCAGTAGTGTGTTATAATTTTTGAATAATACATTTTAATCTTATTAGACATTTTAGACACTTATGAAGATAATTGCTAGATCAAAAGCCAAGAGAACTTTTAAGGTATTGAGTGTTCAAAAAAATTTGCTGAGAAAGATTATGCCAGTTATAGTTCGGATAAACCATATTGTGAGTGCCAGTTTCTGTAGGTCCACCTAAGTATTGATGTGACTTTTTAATCTTTGTCAGTTTGAAAGACGGTATGTGGTATTTATTTTAACCTTTTATTTGATTGTTGAAGAGTTGCATTTTTATGTGTAATAACCATTTCCTTTGTTTAATATTTTTTCATCTATTTTTGATGTGGAGATTTTTCCTTATTGATTGGAAAAGTTGCTTATATCAGATAGTACTATACTTTTTTGTATATATTGCAAATAATTTTGCCCTCATTTGACAAAAGTTGACAGTATTAAAACTACTAGTGTTATGCCTACAAAGATTTTTATCTACCTCAGCATCACACAAATAATCATTTACATTTTTTCTTTTTAAATTTTTAAAAGCCAACATTGGGTTGCATCATTTTCTGATTTTACAATTTTTTTTAGTACAGAGATAAAAACAGGAAACTTGGAATACATTACATTTATTGTGGCCATAATATCTAATTCATATTAAAGGAAATGGCTTTATCATGACAGTTTTTAATAATAATTTTAGGTTTGATAAGAGTTACTAATTTTTATTTTCCCAGTGCCTCATCTTTACAATCTAAGTAACAAAATTTTGGTTTCAAAACTAAGTTTTAAACTTATTCTGTGTTTTAATAATGATAGGTTAAATAGTTCATTACTATGTTTCTTAGATTAAAAAATAAGAAGCATCTTTTAATCAGCATTTGTGGTGTTACAAAACACTTTTTGGTGCTGTTTTTATTGTAATCATTAAGAACAAAGATCAGTAGTTTCAGCTGGAGAGATTCCAGGAATCATTTATCTGTGTCTCAGAGGCTTTCACTTGAATCTTAGCCAGGATTTCAAGTACTAGGTGTGTCACTTGACTTCCTTCTGTTTCATCATGTATGAAGTAGTAACGGTGTGGTACCTAGTAGAGGATTGTTATATGGGGAATCCACAACACAGTCACATCCTCAGTTTTTTATAGATACTACACGTACTTCATGTAAGTTATGAGTAGAGATGTAATACTGTATTTACTTTGAAAATTTGGATCTTTTGAAATATGTATAAAAATCTTTTTGCTTATTTAACTTGGTTTAATTTATGTAACTGTCTTTCTTCAGGAAGATATATTCTTGTATAAAGAGCAACTTCGTAAGGCAGAGGAACAAGTTCAGGCAACTCGTCAAGAAGTTGTCTTTCTGGCTAAAGAGCTTAGTGATGCTGTGAACGTTCGAGATAAAACAATGGCAGATTTACATACTGCGCGCTTGGAAAATGAGAAAGTGAAAAAGCAGTTAGCTGATGCACTGGCAGAACTTAAACTAAGTGCTGTGAAAAAAGATCAGGTAAGCAAGTTAATTTTGCATTTCTGCATTGATTCAAAACTATTGTAAGCTAATGAAAGAATAAGTTATATTAAAATTAAGTCAAGCCAGATTCCTGATGAAAGGATTTAAAAATCCCATTCAATTTTTGGTCATTGTAACTTTCCTGTTGAAATGAATGTAATCTTCAAGAAAAACTTCTGTAAGCATAATTCCTAATTGGTTAATGAAAAGCAGTTCTGTTACTAATTATTTTTGATGTCAGGTATATATTACTTGGTTTGGAATTTCTAGCTTATGAGTTACATAAAAATATTATGGTTGTTTAAGGGAGTAATAATTACTCCTCAGGAGGGGAATTATTTTTCTCTAGTTTTTAAAATGAACCTTACTCTCAGAATAGAAAACTGCATTTATTAGGGGAGTTACTATGGCTCTGTAGCCCAAACTCCCAAACTAATAAAAATTAAAAGCCAGAAAAAAGTGAAAATGAAATGGAGATTTTATTATTGCATTATGAGGTACCAAATTTTTATCTTAGAGCAAGTAATTTGTTTTTCTTAGGAAAAGACTGATACACTAGAACATGAACTTAGAAGAGAAGTCGAAGATCTGAAACTCCGCCTTCAGATGGCTGCAGATCACTATAAAGAAAAATTTAAAGAATGCCAGAGGCTCCAAAAACAGATAAACAAGCTTGCAGACCAATCAGTAAGTAGAGATGAGTTCAGATTTCCCTTGTTAACATTTTTGTTTATGAATGAGATTTATGATCTGCTGAATATCAACCTTTTGAATATAATCATTTCCTCTTGATTTCAAATGATTGATCTCATAGTGGTAAGTTTTTTTCTTTAAATCTGGAGTTTTATTTGAGAATCAACAAAGGAAGCAAGGGCAGCAGCAAGAAGAAACGAAGCCTTTTTAAAGACCATTTCTAAGTTCTTGGTGAATAGCTTTGTCAGTTATAATTGATACATATTACTTAATCTCATTGTGACAAAGATACCTTTTCTCATTGGTGTTCACCATAGATTTATCCCTACAGTTTCACATGTCCTTGCTTTCTCAGTTGCCATTGGTGGGTTCTTCCATCCCATGCATATCTACAAGATGAGGAAGAGTTAAAAAATGTTAGCAAATTCTTTGGTATTTTATTAGAGGGTGGAGGAGTGATAGGTAGTAAAGCAGAGGGGTGTGTGTTTGTGTGTTAATATGGGTCCTTAAATTATACTTAAATACAAGGCTTGGTATATGAAAGAATTTGAAATATAGAAGAAACATATTTGAAATCTGGAAGTACAAGTGGAACCACAGTTGGCTTTATACTATTTGATACAGGTATCATTTTCCTAGTCTTCCCTTTTTGAAATCTGAAAGGAGACAAAAGAGCAAGAAAGGTACGTGGTAGAGTAGGGAGACGTCCTTGAGAAAATATTACAACTTAAATGTGACTCACATGCACGGATTTTGTTTTGTGGTCTTTTAAGTATATTTGACTTCATGGTAGAAAATTTGTGAGTTTTTTTTTTTTTTGTTTGTTTGTTTGAGACTTCTGTGAAAGACAATAAAAAGTATTTTTCTTTCGCAGCATTTAGATCAATCAATTACGATGTATGTAACTTTCATTTTTGTTGGCTTTTAAAATAGTAGCTAGGACTTTGAGAATTTCTTTTTATGATTATTTTATGTATTTACTGAAGGAAGGAAATACAACTTGGATAGATTCATTTAACCATTTATTGTTAATATTTTGAACAGGCCAATAATAATAGTGTCTTCACAAAGAAGGTTGGGAATCAACAGAAAGTGAATGATGCTTCAATAAACACAGACTCATCTGCTTCCACCTCTGCTTTAGAGATAAAGCCACCAATACCTTCTGCAGGTAAAAATCTTTTAGATGTTAGGATGTCCTGCTTTGAAAATTTGCTTGCATAGATTTATACTGCCTTCTTCTGTGGAGTAAGAATTTTCAAGTGCTTGTAAAAATCCTGTTATGAGTGAGGGATTTAAGGTAAAGGTGAAAATAAGGGTGTAAATGTAAGGTGAAGTTAGCTGTGTAGTGAGTATATAAAATGTGAGTGTCAATTAGTATTTATCAAAATATTTGCAAATGTTAAAAATGACTTGGTGTTTGGGTAGTTATTTAGATTTCATGGGACAAAAAGTGGCCCATATCTTGAAACTGAAAAATTAATTTCTGTTGCCAAAAATTGAATTTTTATACTTTATATTCTTCTAAATGTATAGAGTTTTGAAAAAAGTGTTTATTGGGTCAATTTAAGTATATAAAATGATTATATTCATTCTAGGGAATTTGTACCTGCACATAATACACCTTGATTTGTCTTATTATCCCTCTCATTCTGCTTCTGTTTCCCCTGCTTATTGCAAAACTGTTTCAATTTTGTCCTTCTTTTCTCATTTTTTCTTTTCCCTTACTTCCTTTCCCGTGCCCTCCTCTATAGAATTTTGAAGCCCTTTATCTGTTGTCTTTTTTTTTCATCTTTTCTTTTTTTTTTTTTTTTCCGTACCGGGGATCGAACTCATGACCACCTGCTTGCAAGACAGGTGCTTATGCCACTGAGCTAAATCTCCAGCCCCTGTCTGTTGTCTTTCAACTTTATGATTCTAGAGGGGAAAAAATATTACCTGGTCTCATGTTTTGTCTCTTTTTTGTTCTTATATTTTGTTTTGGCAGCTTAGATTATTAGGTTGCTGCTCTCATTAGTATATCTGTTGGTTGATGAGTTAAATTTTTATTGATTCATTTATTATAGAATAGATTAATGACACATAATGAATATAAAAAATTTGAATTAACTGTTATTACCTGCTCTCTGACTTTTTTCCACTTTTATGTAGATCCAAGATTTAATAGTAATGAAATTCAGAATTAGAGAAAATTGTTTCATGTTTAGTGTAATTGACATGTTAAAATTTTAAAAAATTTAAATATCTTGGCCTGTTAAATATTTAACTAGGTTCATCCCCCATAGGACAGGATCCAGTCTCCCATTTCTGTGTGTCCTCTGTTTAGGTTGAGTATCTTAAGTGCTTGGGAATGTAAGTGTTTTGGGTTTTGGAATGTTTGCATAGATTTTATTGGTTTATTATGCCTTACTGTAAAATTCCAAAATCTGAAGTGCCTCAAAATCTGAGACTCTGCATGCTGCGTCAGTACTCAGAAGGTCTCAGATTTCATTCAGAGCATTTTGAATTTCAGATTTTAGGATTAGTGATACTCAGCCTGTACCTTGCATGGCATCAGAACTTTTACTCTAATAAACACTTATTAAATGTAATGAAGGACTGGAAGGATGATTTTAGATCTATTCTCAGGAGAATAGCTTTTTTTTAAAATCTTGTCCTGCTATATAAGACGAACAGATTTTAATGCTATTTTGAAACCGTCCTTAGCAAAATATATAACAAAATAAAAGACCTTTCAGTATTAAATGAATGTGGTTGTGGATAAAACTTACATTTAAAACTTTTCACATGGTTTGTATATTTTCCTTTGTTTATGTAGGATATAAAATATATATTTCTTTCCTCAGTATTCTGATTTTTATATTTCACAATATACTAACTGAAATTTTCCTGAACAGGAATATAAAGTAAGGGGCACAATACTTTTATTTGTTGGTCTTTTTGAGTCAGAGTCTCACTCAGGCTGGCCTTGAGCTCACTTTGTAGTCCAGGCTGGTCTTGAACTTATAACAATCCTCCTGCCTCAGCCTCCTGAGTGCTGGAAATACAGGTGTGTGCCACCATGCTCAGCTGGGACAAAATACTTTTTTAACAGTCTTGTTTTCTGCCTTGTTAAAGCAGAGACAGATATTGATATGCTGACAAAAGGTCAAGTCTATGAAATGACCAAAGAAATTGCTGACAAAACAGAAAAATACAATAAATATAAACAACTCTTACAGGTAAGTTAGCTCCTTTTTCAACGAAATATATATTTATCACATATAAGTGATATAAGTGTCTTTTATCTTTACTTTTATTGGTTTATATCTGGAAGTTTGTTTTCTCTCCTTAGTTACTGGTATTAACTTTCACTTTTGCCTTGGGATTGTGGAGTTTGATTTATGTACCTGTTCATAGAGATCTGTGTGTAAAATCATGATCCTAAAACCTGGTCATGAGCTAAATATCCTTGTTTGCATAATAAGCAATTAATTAGTTGAAGTTAGAAATTGACTTCTGTCTTATTATAAAGGTATATGGAAAGTATTTGAACTTTATAATAAAAGAGACGTCCTTTTACAATTTACTGTAATAAAAGCAGATAGTCTTAGTATAGCTTAATGTTATGTTTGCACAATAAAAAGAAGGAGCGTTGACTAATGAGTCCTTTGTATCTTACGATGTTATTTTTAACAGCCTCACTCAAACTTTCCACTTTGGCAACCTTCTTGGTAGTATTCACTGCTGGCATATTTTATGGATAAGGGAAAATGTTCATTTATGTGTTTTTTAAAGTACAAAGGAAATGTGCCTTGTGTTTATATATGTGATTTTTTTTCCTGTTTACATATTCTGAGCTACAGAACTAAATCAGAGTAAAGTTTACAGATGAGCTCAATAGTAAGATCTAATCAAATTATCCCCCTGTTGAAGGGCTGATTGTAACGTAATGAATGTAGCTTATTACTTAGGTTTGTGGTGAGGCTGGCGTAAGGAAACTTGTACTGCCAGTTGTATAAAAGTGTGGGCACATCCAGCTGTACACAGTACCTACTTAAAATAAATGACTTATTGGTACTTGTTATATTATCATTTTAGGGTTTAGTCCTTCCACTTAAAAACACCACAGTGTGAAAATATATTCCTTATGGCCTCCTATCGTGTGTTTTTTTTTTTTTTTTTTTTTTTTTGGTGCCAGGGATCAATCTCATGACCTCTCTCTTATTTGCCAAGCAGGCACTTATGCCGCTGAGCTAAACCCTGGCCCTTAGCCTCCTATCTTTTGTGTCACCACATCTCTTGATTGCATTATATTATCTCATGTTTGTTTTAATTTTATGTTTTTTTAAATCAAGGATCCTAAATGTACAGAATTCACTGCATATTACCAATTAGAGGCAATATGTTGAAACAAATAGAAGTAATTAAAAATGCCGAGTAAGTAAAAAAATCAGTAATCATTATTCACAGGCACAGTTATGATTGTGCCTCCTGGGAGGCACATCCCATCCCATCATAGCTGTGATCTTAGAAAAGAACAAGGTGACAGAAGCTACCAAAGGATGTGTTTCATTGAGAGCGATGAGACTAGCAAAATTCATTAAAAGTTGTATGTTAAGTTGGAGAAACACCTTGTTTTTCTTGTTCCTGCTTCTTTCTTTTCCTTTTCTTTGTCCTCTCCTTTCTTCTTTCCCCAGTCTTCTTACTTCTCTTTTCTTCCCTCTTCCTTTTTGTATAGTGCCAGGGATAAAACCCTGGGGCCTGCTGCGTGTAAAGCAGGAGCTTTACCACTGAGCATTACCTCAGCCTAAGAAACTTCTAATTCCTTGAAAACCAAACACAAAAACATTATGGCCAATGCAGTGTTTTAAGAAAAGGTTGAATGCAGCTGTAAAATTGAATTTACTGCTAACTAGGTGAATCGCTCATTGTATAATGTGAAAGGGGTGATTCTGCAAGTGCTTATGTGAAGACAGCTAAAGAAATTTTGGAAACTAGAGGTAAAGCTGATTGTGGAGGAAAATTATTTCCAGAACAAATATTCAGTGCAGATGAACTTTGTTCACACAGGCACAAAATCACCTGATGACACACTTCTCAGAACACAACTCTCTTAAGTAATATGTAACTGTAATTATTTATAAGGGATTAGATTATACTTCATTAAGGATAAAATGATTTTGAATGAATATTTTTAAAAATTTTATTATATACTATTAAAGCAAGATACAGTAGTGTTCTTCTGAGCAAAAGACTTCCTTATGGTTCATTTTTTTTTTGCAACTGTGTTGAAGTACAACTGGAATTTCATAAGTTGCACTTTTTTTTTTATCGGTACCCGGGGTTGAACGCACGACTGCCTGCTCGCGAGGCAGGTGCTTGTGCCGCTGAGCTAAATCCCCACCCCCAGGTGCACATATTTGAAGTGTGCCTTTTGATAATATGATATACAGTCTTGAAACGTCACTCTACGAATTTTTTGTTTTTTGATGCCCATTTGCAGCTTTCCTATTCTGTCCTCTCCAGGAAACCATTCATTAATCTGCTTTCTCCCACTATTACTTAGCCTGCTTTTTGTAGTTCTATAAAAAGTTATTTTGATGTGTACCCTTTTCCCCATCTTCTTTCAGCGTATTATTCATATTATTGGTTATGTTATTCACTGCCTTTTATTGCCGAGGTAGTAACCAGTGTATGGATAGATCTTAGTGTGTTTATCAGTGAGTAGAACTATTTGAGGTTGTTTTGGTTGGTGCAAATAAAGTTGCTGTGAATATCTGTATACAAGTCTTGTGTGAACATTCGGCCTTTTGTTTCTCCTGGGTAAATACCTAGGAGTAAAGTGACTAGGTAGGTGAATGTCTATGAGAAATTAGCAAGTTATTTGCATAGTACTCTATGTTTTGAGACAAAGTTTTATATGTGGTTAAGGCTGGCCTTTAACTCACTTTGTAGCCCAGTCTGCCTTGAACTCACCTCCTACCTCAGCCACCCCAGTGTTGGGATTACAGGTTTGTGCCACCATACCCAGCTAGTTTGCATAGTACTTTGTATGTTTTTACATAGCCAGTCTTTTTTTTTTTTTTTTTTTTTTGGTACTGGGGATCAAATTTGTGACTGTGTACTTAGCAGGTAAGTGCTTGAGGCACTGAGCCAAATCCTCGGCCCTCTGCATAGCCAGTCTAATGAGAACGTGTCTTGGTTACTTCTCGTTGTTGAGTCAAAATACCTGATGCCCAAAATGCAGGAAGGGAAAGATTCATTTGCTTATAATTTTTGGCAGTGTCAGTCAGTACTCAGCTGGCTCCAAGGCAGGGTGGCCTTCATGGTGGCCTTGAGCACCAAGAGTGACAGGGCTTCCTTCCTTCCTTGTATTGTATGTCAGATACCCACCCCTGGGTAGGTGTAGCACTCACACCACCAATCCCAGCACTAGACAACAAACAAATCATAAATGCTAGACTCAGCCACTTCTATGACTGCATGAGGCTTTGGCGGGGATACCCAGACACAAACCATAGTAGAATATAATGGTAATATCATCTTGATTTTAAAGTTTGTACATCTGTAATAATTCAGTGCTGAGCTGCCTTTCTTATGCTGTTGGCCATTTATCTTTTTTTGTGAATGTTCAGATTTTTTTCTGTTTTAAAAATTCATAGCTGGGTGCAGTGGAACATGCCAACAGTCTCAGCGGTTTGGGAGCTGAGGCAGGAGGGAAATTCAAGTTTTGCCTGGGCAGTTGAGCAAGACTTCTTTCAAAAAAGTGTGTGTTGGGGTGTGGAGGCTCATTAATAGTACTCATGGATTGCATGTCCAGTACTGATAAAAAAGAAATTTGGGTAGTGTTACTCATCTTGTGATTGTTCTTTGTTCTAGATACAACTCTTTTCTCTGATATACATGTGTTTCATATTCCCTAAACTATTTCCTTAAATTTTGATATAGTTATTTTGTTGTTTTATGTTTTGTACTTTTCTCTGTTTAAAAATATTATCTAATCCAAGGTGGTAAAGATTTTTCTCCTGTATTGGAAGTTTTTGCTTTGTTTTTACAGTAGCCTTGCACATTCTAGGGAAGACTTAAATGACCCAGTCATCTAAAAATTTTATAGTTATATCAGTAGCCCATTTTGAGTTCATTTTTATGACATGAAGTATAGAATGAATGACTCTAAAAAAAGTTTATCTTGATTATTTGTTTAAAGGCATTCCTCCATTAAATCGAAATACTTCAAAATTTCACTTTTAAACAAAAACATTTAAAATGAAATTGGGGGGCTGGGGATTTAGCTCAGCGGCATAAGCACCTGCCTTGCAAGCAGGCGGTCGTGAGTTCGATGCCCGGTACCGATAAAAATGAAAAAGACAAAAAAAAAAAAAAAAAAAAAAAAAAAAAAAATAAATAAATAAAATAAAATGAAATTGGCCTATTTATTTTTTGTTGTGATTTGTAATTCATTTAATTTGATGTGTGTGCTGTTTTCAATTAATGTAACTTGACATTTGTCTTTCTCAGGTTATTCATTTACTTTATTCTTTTAAGTGAGTGTATACTGTTACACAGTGAATATAATGTGATTTATAACCAGTAATGCTGCTCCTTTTGGGGGCTGATGCATGGGTGTAACATATCTTGATCGTTTTCAGTCTTTTTATCCTTCTCTCCCATTCCTCTGCTTTCTCAGATTTAAAATCTTTTGGTGATTATATTGTTTCATTTAGGATGAGAAAACTAAATGTAATAAATATGCTGATGAACTTGCAAAAATGGAGCTGAAATGGAAAGAACAAGTGAAAATTTCTGAAAATGTGAAACTCGAATTAGCTGAAATGGAGGACAATTACAAAGTAAGTTTAGACTCATTGAATGCAAACTTGAAGCATAGTATCTGCTATACCTAATGCTTTAAAGAATCTGTCATGTACATTTTATAATTATTTTCTCAGTATAAAACTATATATATTTAGATACATTGATCCCTATTTAACATACTATGAATTTTACTTTGTTTAGTGTCCATTTTCTTCTGTTTTTTTTTTTTTTTTGGAGGGGGTGGGGGCGGTCTTTTTGAGACAGGGTCTCACTATGCATTTCAGGCTGGCCTTGAACTCACTTTGTAGGCCAGATTGGTCTTGAATTTGTAATAATCCCTCCTGCCTCAGCCTCCTGAGTGCTGGGTTACAGGTGTGTGCCACCATACCCAGCTATCCTCTCTCTTGATTGATGAATTTTAAGTACCCTTAGGGTTGTTTTCTGTTAGTTTAAAAAAAAAAATCAGGAAAAGGAAAACTCATATAAATATTTTAATAGTAGATTTATTGATATCTCTGGTGAGATACAGAGGCTACTTTTGGCCTCTGCACTTCCAGGAGGTGCTCAAGATGGTGGACGTTAGCTTCAGAAGTTAGTACAGTGAACTACTGAAGTGTGCACACATATTTTTGGCTCACACATTATAGACGAGGAACACATTGTAGACGAACTAGACTTTTAGAGACCAAACTGGAGGACAGTAGAAATAGAGCTAGGCAAAGGAAGAAGTAACGTTCTAAGCAGGTGGGAAGTGTTAATGCATGTTTCAAGGTCAGAAGTAAAGAACAACACCAGTTCTGAGGAATAGCGCCTTGACGTCGGTGTTGGGGTAGATTAGACTTGAATGATAGTTTGGAGCCAGATTTTGGAAAACCTAAAATGGAATTTGGGTATTAGTTGCTGTTTAGAATTTAGAATGAGTCTTTTTGAAAAGAATTTTGTAGCACTGAAGAGGATTTAGAGGTGGGAAGGGTTTGGTGAAAAACCAAGTATACGTGTTACACTGAACTGATAAAAGCTACCTTCTTTTGGATACAAAAGGGCAATGTGTCTAGACTGGAAAGCTTTGAAATACATCTTTAGGGAAGAACCATAGAAGAATGGTTTTATTTCCATTTGTACCCATAATGCTTACACTGTAACAGGTGATTAGCAGATGGTTACTAAATGAATGATGATGTAGAGACTGAAAACCTTAAGGAGTAGAGGAAAAGAAGTAGTATTCTAACATACTTGGTAAGCTTCAGTCGCAGTGTGCTCTTGATTCTCATGATCTGTTAACAAGTGTAAAAGGTAAGTTTGGACCATTTTGCCCTTCACAGTACAGAAAAGACGGCAGTGAAATCATGTGTTGCTATCAGTTTAAAAGCCAGATTTGGAACCTGAGAAAGACAAAAAGTAGTATATAAGTTAGTGTTTGTGGTTTTATTGTCACGGCGCTGATAGTAGTGGAAGGTGTGGAAGAAACCAAGTTTTCAGAGAAAAGAAAAAAAGCCAGGAAGAAGTAGACACCCACATGACAAAACCCCAAAAAAGCAAACAGACAACATGGAGGCTAACTATCGATACAGTTTCACAAAAGTCAAAAGAATGCTTTTTAAGAATAAGGGAAATTGGTCGATAGTGACAAGTAGTAATTTGGAGAAGCCAAAGACTAAAAACTGATGAAAATATATGGATTGTGTAATAGGAATTATTTCAATAAAGTTGTTTAAAGATAATTAAATAATGATAATTTCTTTCTTCAGCTTCGATTGGCAGAGAAAGACAAAGAAATACATATTTTGACTTCACAGTTGGAAAACCTCTCCAGGGAGAAGGTATTCAGCAATGTATTTTAAAAAATATATAATGTGCTACTGAATGATATATAGCTTTTAAATATTTACAATATGAGTAAAATGTTTAATATTGACCATTATAGTCTTTGTTACATATTTAGTATTTAATAAATTTTAAAGCACTCAAATTTAGAAAATCTGCAGTCATCCCCCATATTATATACTTTTGTGTTTCTTTTGAAAAATAATCCAGCTGCATGTTTCTTTTCTCCTGAAAGTTTACCTATTACATATTTTTTACCTAGTATATTCTTCAAGCACTATAGTATATGAAGTTCATAAATTGTGAGTTTTCTAAATTTTTTGCAGCTGTGTAGTACTTTATTATTTGTACATACTATAATTTATTTAACCAAACCTCTGTATTTGGGCCTGTAGGTGGTTTATATTACATGTAATACTTTAATGAATAGTTTTATGCATCTGTAGTTTGCTATTGTTTGGAGGGGTTCTGACTCCAGGATAAATTCTTAAAAGTGTGATTGCAGGTCTGATGGTTAAATGCATGTGGCAGCTTTGTTAGATAAAGCCAGATTCCACTGAGCAATGTATGAGAAGCGGACCTATATTCCTGTAGAATGTGTAATTAGGATGGATTGTTTTTGCATATATGATAGATGAGGAATGGTATGTACCAAATTTGTATGTTCTAATACAGATGATCTTAACTTTGATCATTTGGTTAAAGTAGTGTCCACCAGATCTTACTAATAAAAATTTATTTTTTGGAGAGAAGTTCTTACTATGTACTCCAAGGTGGCCTTAAATTCACTTTGTAGTCCAGCCTGGCCTGTACTCACGGCAGTCCTCTCCCTCAGTGTCCTAAGTGCTGACATTACCGGCCAGCGCCACCAAGCCTAGCTTTTCCATTCAGCTTTCAATATTGACTAGTTAGGATTTTTTTTTTCTGTAGGAAGAGCTATCTTTTTCTTTTCCCACATTTATTTCTTTGCTCATTAATTCTTGTCTGTGTAGACTCATGTGTCTGTGTTTTATACAGCTTTCCTGCTGAGCCACATCCCAGACTGGTTTTTCCTTTTGATACCGGGGATCCATCTCACAACCTCATGTTTGCTAGGCAGGTGCTGTGCCATTTTATATCCCCAGCCCTTGGGTTTTCTTTTTAAAGGGACTTTTAAATTTTATTATGTGTAAGTAGTAAGAGATTCAATTTGCCCTATTCTTTCAATAATAAGAGTACTTTTTGGCACAAAGAAATTTGAAGGTACATTCATTGGGCCTTACCTTGCTTTCTGGCTTTGTTAAATGTGGGTAAGAGTATTATGAGAAGTTGAGGGCCAACCTTTCCAAATGCATACCTGAAGCACAATAGGGAAATATTTTATTGTTTTGCTTTAGCTAAATGTTTAATGCTCTTTTTATAAAGTACATGATTGCTTTGCTTATTCATCTTTATTTTTCTCCATTGTAGGAACTTAAAAGGGTAGAAAACCAAACAGAACGGAAAAGGGAAGGTCATAGTCTTCAGCATGTCTCCCAGGGTCTCAACGCATGCTCGGAGCAAAATGGGCGTACTTTGGTGCTGTCCGGTGCACAGCCAGCTCTACAGTATGGGAACCCTTATGCGATACAGGAAACAAGAGGTTATTATTTTTGGTTTGGTTAGCTGAATCTGAAGGGATTTTGCTTATATTTTCATAGTGGTAACGTAACTACTATTATAATCTCAGCTCTAATAGAAACATTTTATTTGTTGGTTTTTGATTTGCTGCTATATTAATTTTTTTAAAGAGAAAAATCAAAAGTGATTCAGAATTTTGTAACAGAATAATAGATTAACAATAGTTAATATGTTGCACATTGTTATCCTCAAAGTAGTTGCTAAAATTGCAAAATATATATATTTTTTTCTTCTCCCTTCCTTCTTTTCCTCTTTTCTCCATCCCAATTTTTCTTTCCTTTTGAACAATTTGAGACCATATTCATAAGTGAAGTAAATCAGACTCGCATGTGCGAACGTCACATTGTCTCCTTAGTACAAAGAACTGCTAAGTAAATAAGATGCAAGATCTATAGTAGATACTATGAAAGGGAAAAGAACATTTTATTTATGTAATTTGTAGTTTTAATGTTTTAACACTGTTACTGAGCTCATCACTATCAGTGACGCACCATGAATGAATAATCTGCTTAAAATAAAAAGTCTTTTCTGGTGTATCAGTCTCTCTATATTCTGATGTACTAATATCTTTATATCCTGTTCATCATATCTATGCATAGAGATGTTAATTTTAGTAACTGATTTTCCCCTACTCCTCTCTCCCAATATTTATCTTCCTAAATTTTTATTGCAGATGGAGCAGATGGTGCTTTTTACCCAGATGAAATCCAAAGGCCACCTATGAGAGTCCCCTCGTGGGAAGACAGTGTTGTCTGCAGCCAGCCTGCTCGAAACCTTAGCCGGCCTGATGGTTTAGAGGACCCTGAAGATAATAAAGTAAGTTGACTTTTCATTGTCTGAACCTGTCCCGTTTATTTTTAGAATTACATGGAGAGTTAAGGGCACGTGCTTTGTGGAAAGACTATGTGCTTGTTTTTGCACCATGTTTGTGGACTTGATTTTTAGAAAAAGTTACTTGTTAAATTTGAAAAATCAATAAATGTGCTTTGGATGTACACTCAGGATGTTATACTTAAGTACGAGATAAAGTTCAGCAAATGATTTCAGAATAGTATAGTTATCACATAGCTTAATTATCATTCAGTAAGTATCACTTTCTTTTGCTTATGGATATATTTAGGCTGGAAGAAATGAAATGTTAAGATGCATAGTGAAGCATAATTTTGTGAGTTTTAGTTTAGTGTTTATATTCTTCTATAAATTTTAAGGTGGGACTCTATGATTTTTAGCCACAAAACGAGAAGTATATATATCACGTAGTTTTTTTTTTTCAGAGAAATACTCAGTTTATGATGTTGAAGCATTTCTTAATTCTGTGGCAGCAACATGAGCATAATAATTGAATTCATTTATGTAGCATCTCATTTAAAAATTTTTTTAGTTAAAGGCTTTTTTTCAGTGTTTAATAGGTTTCTTAGAGTAACTCTTTTTGGAAATTAGGTTCATTTTTTCATAGCAGCTCATTTTAGATTTCCTGTGCATTTAGATAGACTTAAAAGAAACGCTCTTCTGTGCTCTTTGCAAGTACAGTGGTATCATGACCTGTTTCTCATTTAATCTAGTTTGCTGCATTTAATTGCTATTAACCTTTGCAGAAACTGATCAGTGTTCAGACAGGCATGATTTTAGCCCTGGTGCTCAACACTCATAATGGAGAAAAATGTATTTCTCCCTCCTGCCTTTTGGCCTGCTATGTCCATTAGTGGGAATAATTAGGAAAACTGTCAGAACTTTTGTAGCTTATTTAAGGTCTAGACTATCATCATACTGCTTTTGCACACCTTTACTTCACATTTTGCATATTTAATCTGACCATTCTTGGCATAGATGTTACATGTGACAAGCCCTTCTCCTCTATAGTCATCTGCTTTGGTTTAATTAGCAGAATGTTCTTTTTGATCTGTGTGCTTTGCCCTTCTGCAAACCCAAGAGAAGCAGTGTTAGACTCTTGTGCTCATTTGCTGACATGCTTAGATTTGGTAATGAGACAGAGGAACTCAGTATGCACACCTGAACTAAATTGTATTTTACCATCAGATTTTTTTCCCCCGTGAGTTAGAAAGCAATTTTTATGTATACTCAAAACTTTAAATTGCTACCATTACAATGAAAATAACTTCAAATGAAGGTTTTTTAGTAAATGATTTAAGTAAGAATATGGAAGACACATTTGAGTTACCCTGTTGTTATTCTCTATTTCTGTGCTCTGGGAGAGATTAACAGTCATAGCACCCGTGAACACCAATGAGTCATGGTTGGGCCTACGCTGTCACCTGCACTTGCCATAATCTCCCTTCTGTGCCAGAAGCTGTGATTATTTCTCAGATAGAAACCTTCTGTGACTTTCATTTACCCAGTAATTGCAATAGCTAATATCACAGTTATGGTGATGGTGATGGCTGTAAACATGTCTGTAGCTGTTTGCCAGGTAACTCATAGTAACTCATTTGTTCTTCATCATATTCCTGAGAGAGGTGGGAGCTATCACTATCACTATTTTACATAAAAAGGAACTGAGAGACAGATGAAATAGCTAGTCCCACACAGCTGATAGAGGCAGGGTTTGAACCGCGTCAGCTTTACTAAGAAGCTGTGTTCTTACCGACCTGTCAGATAGGACTATAATGTAGGTTCCCATGCTTTCAGCTTATGGTACGCCTAGCGTCTTGGTAATTTTCCCCCCATAGCAACTCCTGGGCCAAAAGAAATGTTAAGAAGTATTTGTCTCCTAACAAATTCAGTAAGCTATTTGAAAAATAGAATACCTCAATTAAAGGAAAATTAATTAATATTTTTATTATTTCTTTCTCAAATAGCCAGTTATTAATGGGATGTGCATGTGTGACTGCTGGCCTCTGTAAAGCTTTTCAAGCGTTGGAATCATATTGCACAAGTCACCCTCATTTCCTCTGTCACCTTGTGTTTCGCATGGCCCTCGCTTTCTATCACCACAGCTGCTGGGGGCCCAGCTTCTCAAAGCTATGATGCTGGTGAAAGGTAGCACTATGTGAGTTGAAACTAAGTGGTCTCAAACTGGTTGTTCACATGATGGAAATTAAAATGATGTCACAGAATCTGATGAATGTCTCTGAAGTTTCAGTGGTGCCCTAGGTACCTTCATACCCAGTTTTTAGAACCATGACTAAATTCCTTGCTACTCAAAAAAATGTGGTCTATACCAGCTATTATGGTATCTCCTAGAAGTTTGCTAATACACAGAATCTCATACCCTACTTTGAGGTATCGAGAATCATACTGCATTTAACAAAATCCTTTCATGATCATAAGCTTGGTAAAGTTTGGCATGCACCCATCTAAACTACCTAACCCCATTATTCAAAGCTAGAAAATCATGATGTGTGGTTTGTTTGCAGCTTTCTACATTAGTCCTTCACAGTGAAGGGCAGTTTTATTTACAGATGTGTTTTTCATGATGCATTTTTAGCATTCTCAGAAGTGTCTGTGGTTAGTAAATGTCTGTGGTTATTAAGGCTTAAGTGACTCCGTAATTGCAAATTGCAGCTTGAAACAATGAAGACCTGCTTGTTATTTGTTGTGTTGCGTTGTTCTGAGTTTTGTGCTTTTCCAGTTTTGCCATTTTTTATGTTGTCTTATTTTTAAAATTTTCATATTGTGTTTATAAACATGGTGTGTAGTTAGAGTCAGTTGAGAGTGTCATAACAGTTCAATGGGAGAAGAAGAATCTTTGCAACAAGTGGTGGTGGAAAATTGTCTTCCTTTCTCACGTCATGTACAAAGATTAACTCAAGACAGGAGGGCTAAAACTCAAAGATTACTGTATTTTCCTTTACCTTGGATTAGATAGTGGTTTCTTAGATAAAAAGTGTAAGTAAGGTAAGAAAAAAATAGGTAATTGGACATGATAAATAAACGAATTGTATGCTATTCCTTACAATTTAATCAATATGATAATTCCATTTTTAAGTTTTTAAAGAATTCCTATACAGTGTACCCTAAACCTTAAAAATTATATAAGCCTAAAAAATTATTCAAGAAGTCATTAACACTGTTTCCAAGTGTCCAAGCTACAAAAAAAAAAAAAAAAATGCAGAGTATAGAGTATGTTTTGGGGCAGGCATATAATGAGGAGTTTTTGAGTTTCAAACAGTGCTCCAATTTATCATAGTCTGTTTTCTCTGCTTAAAAGCCAGTTTGCAATAAAAACAAAACGACGATGGGGGCTAAAGGCAGATGAATACTACATAAGGGAGTTTAGATATTTGTAGGGATTAAATCACTAATAATTATTATTAATTTAATAACTTGTAATTATTCAAAAATAGTTTTCAGCATAGCATTCTTAATAAAATTTGGTTCTAAGACTATTTGAGCAGTTAAGCTAAAATACCACTGATACTTTAAATCTAGTATATCCTTCCAGGTTTATGATTATGTGCTGAAATTGATAGCCTTTGGTGGAAGTCTTTCTAAATTAGAATTATACATGGTTTTTTGCCCTCATAAAGACTGTCTAATAAAACCATGATGACTCATTACTGTAAAAATTAACAATAAATGTCACCTTCTTTTAAGCTACATATTAAAGCTTTGTGGTCTGATGCGGACACCACTGATATTTTGAGTTCTTGTCCGGCTCTGTTGCCCTCATGGAGCTGTTTTGTGTTGCTTACAGTAGACCTGCCTTCTCACTTCCCAGGCTCATTTGCTATTTTTAATCTACCTGGTTTTGGAGATGAATTGACCATGCTTGATAAGTAAAGTAGAGTAAAGGTATTCTCAAGGGAAGATTTGATTGATCATTCTATGTTATTGGTATCACAAGAGTATATGATGCGACTATTTTAAGAACTTATGTATTCATTCTGGTTTTGAGCTGTCCTTCACATAGACAATTTTTTTATTTTATGAGAAATTGATATTTCTCATAATATTTTTATGGACCTAATAAAAGTCCCACTAATTCCTTTTTATTAGGTTAATAGGTAGTAAAAGTTAACAAAATAATAGGGTTATCATTACCAAGTTATATATGGCTTAGAAAGTATAAATTGCTTTTATGTTTTACCAAGTATTTACCACGTTTGATAGTTTGCCTGAGTGCGGAAATGCGCTCTGCTGTTGGGTGACTCATGGCGGCACAGAAGTGATGTAAACTGTTGGATGTTTAGGGCAGTGAGGTGCTCTAAGAGTTTTGGCTTCATGCTTTGGCCCCTAGAAAGTTACATTCTATTTTAAATATTTGCTGTTAAAAATACTAATAGTTGTAATATCAAAATTCATGTATTTTATTTTCTCATTACTTTTAACTTTTCAAAATTTTGAGCAATTTTCTTTTTAAAAGATGAATGAGCAGCTTTTGTTCACTATCATTGTTATGTTAGTTATTTAAGCAGATGCAGAATTCAAATATTGGTGCAAGGCCTAAACTTGGGAGCTACAGTAATCTAGTGTAGAATCAAAATTTTACTGAAGCTGCCTGTATTTTATTAATCTGAACACTTAATTTTTGAAGTGTATAAAATAATTGTATTTTATCCCCTATTTTCTCAGTCCCTGTTAGACTATCTTCTTTTCCTTTTGTGCAGATATATCTGCTTGGAATCATTTATATAAACAAATCATTTTCTCATGTGATGAACATGAAGGGAGGGGAAAAGCTTCTCATGTACCTTTCAAAAAGGGAGCATGGTCAGAAGAAGGCCAGGTCCCCCCGAGATACTCAGATTTGTTCTTCGTTTATTCTCATTGCATTTTTGCACGGCCTGTGTTTCTCAGGTGCCTTTTCCCATGACCCACTTGACTGCAGCCATGGCCAGCAGCTCTGTGGTGAGTGTGACCGCCCAGGGTGTAGAGGACGTCCATCAGTCCTGCTCTAGCTGCTTATGTGTGTTAGGCACAACAAGGAGCAGCTACGCGCTGCAGGAGAAGGAAAGTCAACAGGCAGTTTCAGGGATGTGGCTGGTTTTGGTTATTAAATCAGATCCTGTGTTTGGCTAGCGATGTAGCATCTACAGATTCCTAAAACCCACTGGAATATAGGGGTGGGAATCCACATTAGTGCTTTTCTTATGACTAAAACTAAGATTTACTACTTTTAGAAGTTCAAATATTGAATTTGTTCAACAGTTTTAAAGGCTTTTGTTTTGTTGCATTGTTGCACGTGATTGCCAGTTTGATTTGCCATCACGTACATCCAGGAATATACACAAATGCACATGTATTTTATTAATTTTATTGTATTTACTATTTCTGTATATTGTGCAGTTGATGTATGTATGCATCCTGGTAAAAATATTTTCTTAACCAAATGTGGTGCGCACCTGTAACTCCTGCAATCAGCAGGTTGATGCAGGGAGATTGCGGTGAGCTCGAGGCCAGCCTGGCTACCTAGAAGATCCTGTCTTTAAAAAAGTTTTTTTTCTTTATAAGTTAACAGTTAGTAAGTAACTAGTTAAGAAGTAGTCGTTAAGTCCGTGGATTAGTATCAAGTTAGTAAAATTACCTGAGTAAAGAGATTTGAAAAGCTCTACTGGTGTCCGCTTCATTTATGTACATAGCTATGAAATGTTTCCATGTTATTCCTTCTTTTATAGTACTACCCACTTTACCACTGATTTTTGTTTTTGTGGTTACATTATATATAGTCAGTAGTGGTCTGAAAATATTAAGTGGAAATTTTTATAAATTACATTTTAAGTTACATGTCATTCTGTGCATTGAAATGTCATACAGGGACATGAATCAACCCCCTTGTCCATTTTGTCTGTCATATATATACATATATATGCACACACATATGTATGTACATACATATATGTGTGTGTGTATGTATGTATATATATGCATGCTACTCACTTAATAGCTCTATTTTAAGCTCTTAATTTTCAAATCACTGCCAAAATATGTTTAGCAGCAAGTTATTAATAGTGCTTCTATTAAGTAGCCCTATTTTACTTAATAGTGGGTCCAAAGCCTTGGAGAAGGGATTTGGGCAGTTTGGAAATGCCAAAGAGAAAGCTGTAAAGTTCTTCCTATAAGGGAAAAGGTGGAAATACATCAAGATACATTGAGAGGAACAGAGAAACTTCATTCATGTAACCTTTGTCCTAGTACATTGTTTTGTTTCACTGTATCATTCCTGTTAGCCTCTTAACATACCTGACTTCCGTTAAACTTTATTGTAGGTCTGTCGGTAGGGCAAGGAGCGTAGTGATGTGATACACAGGTGGGTGTTAGCATGCAGTGTGCAGCTTAAGATGTGTGTCCTGTGGACAGGGGCAGGACTGCATTTCAAGAAGGCCAGACTATTATGCCACAGTAACATTACTTAAATTTAAGTCTAATCTTATTTCCTGTATACTGTCAGTATAGGCTTCATTTATTTTACTTGTGAGGTGGCTGAGGATTTAGCTCAGTGCTATAAGCGCCTGCTTGGTTGTGAGTTCGATCCCTAGTACCCTTCCCCTTCTGCCCAAAAAAGAATTTATTGTTCGGTTTCACTTACTCAAAGTATTATCTTTTTTCTCCTCCTAGGAAGACGAGAATGTGCCCACTGCCCCTGATCCCCCAAGCCAGCACTTACGTGGCCATGGAGCAGGCTTTTGCTTTGACTCCAGGTAATTTTCTTTGTCTGGTAGAATTACATAGGGTTATGTAAAGCTAATGGTTCTCAAAGTATAGTCCCTGGGACTCGCCGGGAATATAGCTGCCCAGGGCCTGAACAGCTCCAGGCACAGGGCCCAGCAGTCCTGCTTCAAACTGCTCTTGGGATGGTTCCAAGGTGTGCAGTCCTTGAGAATGAGTGCTGAAGAAACTCCTAGCCCTTAAAGCAAATTAGCAATATTGGTTCGTATTCATCCTTTTAGTTTTACAAGGGTTTTTTTTCTTTTAGTTAAAGTTGAATTTTTGGCATTAGGCCTCATTATGCATAATGTGATTAGATTTTGGTAGATTTTAATGAAAAAGGTTTTCTTTGCTGGTTTAACTGTAAAACTAAATGTAAGAGGTTATTGGAAAAGCTATCTGTTATACACAATTCTCTACAGCAAGAAAGAAAAAGATTTTGGAGTAACTGAAGACTTTGAAAATAGGCTGGTATAAATATCAGCTAATTTGATAAATGTAACTTTGTATATACTGACAATTACTGCTGTTAAAAGTTTATTAGAAAATACGTAATTCTTTTATTTTCTTCTTTAAGCTTTGATGTTCACAAGAAGTGTCCTCTGTGTGAATTAATGTTCCCTCCCAACTACGATCAGAGCAAGTTTGAGGAGCACGTGGAGAGTCACTGGAAGGTGTGCCCGATGTGCAGTGAGCAGTTCCCGCCTGATTATGACCAGCAGGGCTTTGAAAGGCATGTTCAGACCCATTTTGATCAGAATGTTCTAAACTTTGACTAATTATTTTTATTAAGAGGTAATACGTATCAGTAGTTTAGAAGATACCACCTTGGACCACTAAAGAGACCATAAATTGTCATGTACCCACTATGGCACTTTTCAGACTAAGAGCTACTTTGATTTTGGTGTTTCTAGTGTCAGGATCAGTCTTTGGCTTATCAATAAATATAATTTTAGCCTCTGTTAATCTTACTTGCTTTAAGAAAAGTTCGTGTGTGTTTATATCTTTTATTTATTCCCTGGTTTGCAGAACTGTATGAATAAAGGATAAAGGAATTATTTCAATGTTACTACACTGAAAAAATGTGATAGTATGCTAGATTACTTAGCAGAGTATTTACAAGTTTCTGTTGACCTTGTTGATTGAGCATGACTACTAAATATTATGTAATAAAAAGCATTGATCATTAACAGTTTTGTGAATTAATTCTTTGAATCAGAAAGGTCCGTAGTTGAGTCCATGGTAGCTTTTAAATGTTCTTTAGAAATGGAACTGCATGTAGAATAATAATACATGCTTGAAAATATTTTTTTTATATAAGAAATGTTGGCTCTAGAAATAGAAGGTATATTTTGCTAATTTTGACAAAAATTTTTAGAGTAACTTGAATATTTTTAAACTACATTTAATTTGTATTTAAAATGAATGGGAAAATGGAAAGATAAGTTAGTACAATTTGTTTTATACAAAATGACCTCATAATGTGGCACAGAAATCACAGAATATGTATCAGGACCCTTTTCACGTTTCCCTAATGTGAGTATAAATTTGAAGTACTGTTCTCAGTAAGTACTTAACAATGTAATGTATAAGCCCAAATCAAAGTAATATGTATCTTTAGTTATGTCTTTGTTGTGCAGTATTCATCAACATTAAAGAGGATACGTTTTTGGAGGTCTGTAGTTTGATTGTCAAGTTTATTTGCAGTAGTTTTTCATTAACCTAGAATCCTCACTTTTTTTGTGTGTGTGCCTTGGGCCATTAAAGGCTTTTTGTATTTCTTTTTTATAATACTGTGAATGTCAAGAATTGTAGAAGACCATGTGGACAGCTCCCCTTAAATGCAGAACAGTCATCTCTGCATTAGTTAAACCAAACCCTGTCTCCAGGTACTGATGCGTTCAGAGCTGGTTAAGCAGTTGCCTTTTCCCTTCAGGTAGCTCTAAGCAATGCCGAAGCCAGCTGAGGTACTGACCTGTAACCCTTAAATCCAGACCGGCTTCCTGTTTCTTGGCATTGTGTTCTTTAAAAACGATTGAGCAGAGCAGATGGCAGAGCCATATAGCTCCAAATACGTCAACTGGGTTGAGTCTCAAGATAAGAGGCCATGACTTCCCAGGCACAAAAGTTTACATATCACAAACTAAAGGACTAGCCTCCTAAATCATTCAAATGCTACCCCAACTGAGATGAGCAGATTGGTCCTTCTACATGCCTTCTGCCTGCATATTGCAGAGGTGCTTTCTCACCAACTGGCCAGCTCAGCTCACGTTACTCATGTAATTCCCACCGCCACTCCCTGTATTATCTCTTCTTGGATAATAAATTGGGCAGGGCCTCGCATCAAGAGCTTTGTTCTGTGTATCCTCACTTGGAACGGACTGGGGTTCCTTGGCTGCCTGTAATTATAAGTGTTAAGTGTCTTTATTCTCACTGTGGGTTGCACCAGAGGTGCTAGATTGAAATTAACTTGCCAGAATTCCAATAGTGTTTCCATGTGGTTACAAATGTAACTGCAGACTGAGAGGAAAACAAATCACCATATTTGGATTACATTATTATTTAAGGGATTGCAATTGGGATTACAATAAAGAATTGTAAATACTAACATTTGATTTGCCATTTTGGTACCTGTCAAAAATTTTAAGGCTTGTTCTGACCAAACTAGTTAAGATGTTAATCTAATTATATTAATATAATCTAATATTTAGACTCTGGCACTCTGTGAAGGACATACATACCCAGTCACTTGTATTTATGGGAGCAGAAGTTGTGTTTTGTTGGACTCCTCTGAAAAAGGTTTTGCGTCTAGGGAAAACCAGTGTTAGATGGTTTCTAATGGTTAGGGAAAATCATTAGATGCCAGCTGTCAGGTTGCAGAAGCTGGGAGAGGCAGTGGCCATTGAAGTTACTTAGGAAATGTGTTTCAGTTTCTCGGTAAATTACTCGACAGGGAAAATATGTTCAACACTGAGCCCTTTTTGCAGTTAATAATTATGGACCATGTAATCTCCAAACACCTTTGCACACTGCAGTATTCCATTGGTCAAATGAGAATAGTCACCTTACTGGCTTTTAAATTTTAAGTTAGTATTTGGTTCCAAGTTGATGATTTGTTGCTGATAGACAACTAATGCAGTATCATAATTGTGTGATCTGAATTTGGCAAAATAACAGGCTGCCTAAAGTGAAACAAGCCCTGAGCCAGATATATTAGCTACCGTAGTTAACGCTTACCATTTTCCTGGAGTGGACACTCATGAAAATAAAGAGCCATATTTATTTTGGGTCAGAGACAGTTTATTTTAAGTGTGATTTCATTTACATTTATAAGCAGCTTTTTTTGACAGGAATTTTGATTAAATTGCCTTCAGTTCTAAAACCTCAGTCACTTTCAAACTTAATGTGCTCTGTCCCCAACAAAACATACGAAAATATAATTTAAAGCACAGTTTTCACAGACACGGTACAATACATTCACTATACACGGTATAACAAAATAACCCCATCCTTACCTGTGTAGTAATACTGTCACAATGAATAGTAAGTAAGTAGAAACTGGAATTTGTTTTATCATTGAAAGAAAGTTAACATGCACAATGACTATTTTATGACTGTTTAGCTATTGAACTACTGATCCAGCCTATATTTTCTTGCACTAGAAGGAGCAAAGCTAAACAATAATTGCTGGCCTAAAATTTTTTTGGTCAACTGTAGGTAGATATGAAATAGCCAAGTAGGGCCTTCTTATGCACCAACTAGTTGATTCTCATGTCTGGATCACCCTTTCAGATGTATAGGATAACACTGTATATTCAGGACCAAGACCACTCTTCAGAGAGCTGAGATTTTTAGTGGGCAGTGTCTTTATAGGTACTTTAAAATCTCTCATTATGAGGGATTCATAACTTACGAATATAGAAGCTTACCCCATCTGTTGAACAGAATTGTCATCTTTTCAAAATGTCTGAAAACTTGAGGAGGGACCCCTGTTTCCCAGCCATGTGTAAGACTTTTTTCATCAAATGGGGACATGGGAAGAAACGTGCAAGGAACTGGAGTTTTTTTAACCGGTGTGTACTGTGGGCAGTTAGCTGTCTCAAAGCAATTGTTATTGCATAATTAGGCAATTGGTAAACTTGTGTTAAGGAATAGCACTTGGGAGAAAACACTCAAGGCATGGTACTGTCGGTGAGAAAAACTTCAGGAATGGTCCACATGTAGGTCACACTAACGGGTCATCGCACTCTTCTTTGACCACCTGCTGCAAGAAGCACTTAATTGTCAATAAGGCTCATTTTCATATTTCAGCACTATGTTTTATAAAGCTAAACAGACATTGCCAATGATTATGCAGACATCTACAATGTGATGGGAAAAGTGCTTTTAAAGTAAGTCTCAGAACACAATGAACATGAAAAAGAGGCAACTAGGGCCTTTACAGAGATGTTCCTCTGAAACATGCTTAGAATTTTAATTCTGATTTGCAACCCACAGGTTTGTTAGGGCAGTGGCTGCAAGAATTGGCAACACATAAACATGAAATTGTTGGCAATAGAGAACTACAAAGTGCTCGAAAACTCCATCTGAAGACGGAAGCCACAACTAAGTTTCACACACACAAAATCTGCACTGGTTTCCAAAGAGATTTCAGGGAAAAAGTATTTCACTAAATTGTTATCTTGGTCCTCAAATAATATGTATAAATTGAATTCCTTACACCCAGCAGGCACTCAACACGTGTTAATGAGTGAACTGAATAGAATGCTTTGTACAAAATGCCACTTGTAACACTAAAATGATTGGTAAGTCAGATGGCAAGATTCTCAGCTTTTTAAAGGGCAGAAGGGTTCGCGAGATAATATAAAACACAGAAAGCACACCTTTTATGCATGTTATTTAAATATGAAAATATTTTTAGCATATTATGTTACACATTCTTTTTTATTTATAGTTCTATTACCTAATGTCTTTCTACTCACAAATACTAACTCCATTATGTAAGGCATGGTAACCAGTTCAATAATGAAGGTATTATTTTGGTTTTGAACATAGGCGAGTCGATGTGTTGAAACTTCAGTCACATTACAATCTTGAAGACAAATCTCAAGTGCCAGCCCCTCCTCCCCCCAATTAATATCACTGCAATACAACTAAACAATATGCAACATGCCCTCAATTTTATTTTGTTTTGGGGGAAATGTGCTGAAGAACCTAGAGCTTTTTTTTTTCTTTTTTTAATTTAGCACCTTATATCAAAGAATGAAAATGGGTATGATGATTACATGTGCAAATGTACAAAATCATTAACTCTACAAAGATACATCATTCCAAAATTACAGAAAAAATTTAAAGCATGCATTTAATTCTTTTTCTTTTAAGGGTTGCTGAATGCTTCCCCTGAAAAAAGGTGGCTGTTTTCAAAATCAGCAACTGCTGGTGAGGATTTCTTGGCACAGTTATGACCAGCATATTATTGCTGCATCTTCCTGATAATCTCAGCCGACACCGGGGGGTGGAAGTTGATTGTGTGGTGCCGCAGGCCCTGAGCTGTCTTGTAACTCTTCCCACACCGACATTTGAATGGCTTGCGGACACGGATCTGTGTTCTGTGACCATTCTTAGCATGGTACTTTATGCCGTTCACATTCTGTGGGGAAGACAAAAGTTTGCTTATTAGTTGGAGTCACATCTGTCAGGAAAACCTCAGTCTGGGTGCAGATTGTAAAATGAAGTGTGTTCTGGATGGCACCTGTTTATAGACAGAAAGCTTCAAGAACAGCCTGGTGGTGTTAGCCATAGGCCGTTAAGAACTGTCACACACAGACAGCAGTAACAAGATTTCAAACCTGCTTCAATTGCTCTGAAAAGTGCTGGTGTCTGGGAATTTTACATACAGTATAGATCTGGACTCATACGGTGTAAAGGAAATTAAGTTGGAGCAGTTTCCTCTGCCTGGAACTTTGTTTCTTTCTGAACCATGTTTTCATTCTGAAGAGAGTTAACAATAGACAGTCCTATAAAAATCCTCAGGACGACCAATAAAATACCTCCTAAAGAAAAACGAAAGAGGCTAGAGAAAGCCTTGGAGTTTAACACTTGTGTAACTTTTTGGGTGGGAAGCTCAGTTGTCTTGCTTCCAGACAACTAGTACAACAGCCCCACAGCACACCAAGTCACACCCTCGCTAAGCAAAGGACTCCCGCACAGTGTTCTGCTTTCCATTGGAGCCCCTGAGTGAGCTGCCAGAATTCGGGGACACTGCTGCTTTTCCTGGATAGCACAGTGCTGACGCGTGCTAGACACCCAGCAATTATTTGCGAGTAAATTTGTTAGAACAGCAGCTCCCAACACTTGACTCATGTTTGGGAAGAAATAGGGTTGCTACTAAAAACCATAAAGTACTGTGTGCTGGTCAGCTTTGCCATTGCTGGACACTGCCCAGTGCTCGCAACTTGAGAGGTTTCACTTGGCTCATGGTTTGGGGCCAGTGTGGCCCCTCGGCAGCTGCCCCAGGCGAGTGTGGTGGCTCCCAGCAGAGAGCAGAGCCGGGGAAGCTCGCCAGAGAGGAATGGGGAGGGACTCCATGGTACCGAGGCATGGATACCAGACCCCTGACACACAACCTGACACACAACCTGCGGCGCGCTGCTTCATCCGGTCAAGCTGATGTA